ACTGTCTTCAACACCCCTGACTGTCTTCAAGACCCATGACCATCTGCAAGACCCCTGGCTGTCTTCAAGACCCCTGTCTTCAAGACAACTCTCTTCAAGACCCCTTCCTGTCTTCAAGACCCATGTCTATCTTCAAGGCCCATGACTGTCTTCAAGACCTCTGACTGTCTTCAAAGCCCCTGACTGACTTCAAGACCCCTGACTGCCTTAAAGACCCCTGATAGTCAAGACCCCTATCTTTAAGACCCCTGACTGTCTTCAAGACCCCTGAATGTGTTAAAGACCTTTGACTATCTTCAAGACCTCTGACTGTCTTCAAGATCAATGACTATCTTTAAGACCCCTGACTATCTTCAAGACCCCTATCTTCAAGAGCCCTGTCTTCCAGACCCCTGTCTTTAAGACCCCTGACTGTAAGATCCATGACTATCTTCAAGACCCCTGACTTGAAGAACCCTGCTTTTAAGACCCCTGACTGTCTTCAAGTCCCCTACTATCTTCAAGGCCCCTTACCATCAAGACCCCTGACTGTCTTCAAGACCCATGACAGTCTTCAAGACCCCTGACTGTCTTCAGGACCCCTTGACTGTCTTCAAGACTGCAGACTGTCAAGACCCCTGGCTGTCTTCAAGACCCCAGACTGTCTTATAGGCCCCTGGCAGTCTTCACGACCCCTATCTTTAAGACCTCAGACTGTCAAGACCACTGTCTTCAAGACCCCAAACCGTCAAGACCCCTGACTATCTTCAAGACCCTTGACTGTCTTCAAGATCCCTGACTGTTTTAAAGACCCCTGACTATCTTCAAGACCTCTGACTTCAAGAACCCTGACTGTCTTCAAGACCCATGACAGTCTTCAAGACCCCTATCTTCAAGACCCCTGACTGTCTTCAAGACCACTGTCTTCAAGACCCCTGACAGTCTTCAAGATCCCTGACTATCTTCAAGACCCCTGACTATCTTCAAGACCCTTGACTGTCTTCAAGACCCCTGACTATCTTTAAGACCTCTGTCTACAAGACCCCTGACTACCTTCAAGACCCTTGACTATCTTCAAGATCCCTGACTGTCTTCAAGACCCCTGACTATCTTCAAAACCCCTTACTGTCTTCAAGATCCCTGAATTTCTTCGATACCCCTGACAGTCTTCAAGACCCCTATCTTCAAGACCTCTGTCTTCAAGACCTCTGAATGTCTTCGAGACCACTGTCTTCAAGACCCCTGACAGTCAAGACCCCTATCAAGACCCATGACTATCTTCAAGACCCCCGTCTTCAAGACCCCTGACTGTCTTCAAGACCCATGACTATCTTCAAGACCCCTGACTGTCTTCAAGACCTCTGACTGTCTTCAAGACCCCTGACTGTCTTTAAGACCCCTGACTGTCTTTAAGACCCCTAACTGTCTTCAAGTCCCCTATATTCAAGACCCTTACAGTCTTCAAGACCCATGACTGTCTTCAAGACACCTGACTGTTTTCAAGTCCCCTGATTATCTTCAAGACCCTTGACTATCTTGAAGACCTCTGTCTTCAAGACACCTGACTATTTTCAAGACCCCTGACAATCTTCAAAACCCCTGAGTAACTTCAAGACCCCTGACTGTATCCAAGACCCTGTTTTAAAGACCTCTGACTATCTTCAAGACCTCTGACAGTCTTCCAGACCCCTGACTGTCTTCAATACCCCAGACTATCTTTAAGACCCCTGACTATCTTCAAGACCCCTGTATTTAAGACCCCTGACTGTCTTCAAGTCCCCTGACTATCTTCAAGGCCCTTTACTGTCTTCAAGACCCCTGACTGTCTTTAAGAGTTTTGTCTTCAAGGTTCCTGACAGTCTTCAGACCTCTGACCATCTTCAAGACCCCTGACTGTCTTCAAGGCCCTTGACTGTCTTCAAGACCCCTGACTGTCTTCAAGAACCTTGACCATCTGCAAGACCCGTGGCTGTCTTCAAGACCCTTGGCTGTCTTCAAGACTGCAGACTGTCTTATAGACCCCTGGCAGTCTTCAAGACTCCTGACTATCTTCAAGACCCCTGACTGTCGTCAAGACCCCTGACTGTCTTCAAGACCCATGTCTTCAAGACCTCTGTCTTTAAGACCCCTGACTGTCTTCAAGACTTCATCTATCACTACACATCTATCACACAACTACACATCTACCATCGCTACTACAATATGCATCAGCCATCACTACACATCTATCACCACCACTACACATCTACCATCACTACTACAATATGCATCAGCCATCACTACACATCTATCACCACCACTACACATCTACCATCACTACTACAATATGCATCAGCCATAACTACACATCTATCACCACCACTACACATCTACCATCACTACTACACTATGCATCAACCATCACTACACATCTATCACAACCACTACATATCTACCATCACTACTACACTATGCATCAGCCATCACTACACATCTATCATCACCACTACACATCTACCATCACTACTACACTATGCATCAACCATCACTACACATCTACCATCACTACTACACTATGCATCAGCCATCACTACACATCTATCACCACCACTACATATCTACCATCACTGCTACACTATGCATCAGCCATCACTACACATCTATCACCACCACTACATATCTACCATCACTACTACACTATGCATCAGCATCACTACACATCTATCACCACCACTACATATCTACCATCACTACTACACTATGCATCAGCCATCACTACACATCTATCACAACCACTACACATCTACCATCACTACTACACTATGCATCAGCCATCACTACACATCTATCTCTACTACACTATGCATCAGCCATCACTACACATCTATCACAACCACTACACATCTACCATCACTACTACACTAGGCATCAGCCATCACTACACATCTATCACAACCACTACACATCTACCATCACTACTACACTAGGCATCAGCCATCACTACACATCTATCACAACCACTACACATCTACCATCACTACTACACTAGGCATCAGCCATCACTACACATCTATCACAACCACTACACATCTACCATCACTACTACACTAGGCATCAGCCATCACTACACATCTATCACAACCACTACACATCTACCATCACTACTACACTATGCATCAGCCATCACTACACATCTATCACCACCACTACACATCTACCATCACTACTACACTATGCATCAACCATCATTACACATCTATCACCACCACTACACATCTGCCATCACTACTACACTATGCATCAACCATCACTACACATCACCACCACTACACATCTACCATCACTACTACACTATGCATCAACCATCACTACACATCTATCATCACCACTACACATCTACCATCACTACTACACTATGCATCAACCATCACTACACATCTATCATCACCACTACACATCTACCATCACTACTACACTATGCATCAGCCATCACTACACATCTATCACAACCACTACACATCTACCATCACTACTACACTATGCATCAGCCATCACTACACATCTATCTCTACTACACTATGCATCAGCCATCACTACACATCTATCACAACCACTACACATCTACCATCACTACTACACTAGGCATCAGCCATCACTACACATCTATCACAACCACTACACATCTACCATCACTACTACACTAGGCATCAGCCATCACTACACATCTATCACAACACTACACATCTACCATCACTACTACACTAGGCATCAGCCATCACTACACATCTATCACAACCACTACACATCTACCATCACTACTACACTAGGCATCAGCCATCACTACACATCTATCACAACCACTACACATCTACCATCACTACTACACTATGCATCAGCCATCACTACACATTCTATCACCACCACTAACACATCTACCATCACTACTACACTATGCATCAACCATCATTACACATCTATCACCACCACTACACATCTGCCATCAACTACTACACTATGCATCAACCATCACTACACATCACCACCACTACACATCTACCATCACTACTACACTATGCATCAACCATCACTACACATCTATCATCACCACTACACATCTACCATCACTACTACAATATGCATCAGCCATCACTACACATCTATCACCACCACTACACATCTACCATCACTACTACACTATGCATCAGCCATCACTACACATCTATCACAACCACTACATATCTACCATCACTGCTACACTATGCATCAGCCATCACTACACATCTATCACCACCACCACACATCTACCATCACTACTACACCATGCATCAACCATCATTACACATCTATCACCACCAATACACATCTGCCATCACTACTACACTATGCATCAACCATCACTACACATCACCACCACTACACATCTACCATCACTACTACACTATGCATCAACCATCACTACACATGTATCATCACCACTATACATCTATCATCACTACTACACTATGCATCAACCATCACTACACATCTATCATCACCACTATACATCTACCATCACTACTACACTATGCATCAACCATCACTACTCATCTATCATCACTACTACAATATGCATCAACCATCACTACACATGTATCATCACCACTACACATCTACCATCACTACTACACTATGCATCAACCATCACTACTCATCTATCATCACTACTACAATATGCATCAACCATCACTACACATGTATCATCACCACTACACATCTACCATCACTACTGCACTATGCACCAACCATCACTACACATGTATCATCACCACTATACATCTATCATCACTACTACACTATGCATCAACCATCACTACACATCTATCATCACCACTATACATCTACCATCACTACTACACTATGCATCAACCATCACTACTCATCTATCATCACTACTACAATATGCATCAACCATCACTACACATCTATCATCACCACTACACATCTACCATTACTACTACACTAACCATCTACCATCATCAATACACATGTCAAAATAATTACAGGATGGATACTGATGATAAGCAGTCTGCCAAAAGGGGCAGTCAAAATTTGGATGATTCTGGGACATCTGGTACTCAGAAAAAAAGGAAGAAAGTAGAATCCCAAGAGGCATCTCATCTTGTGAATATTTCTGGTGAAAGTTCTGAGAAGAAAGAAGAATCCCAAGAGTCTTCTCATCTTGTGAATATTTCTGGTGAAAGTTCTGATAAGAAAGAAGAATCCCAAGAGTCTTCTCATCTTGTGAATATTTCTGGTGAAAGTTCTGATAAGAAAGAAGAATCCCAAGAGGCATCTCATCTTGTGAATATTTCTGGTGAAAGTTCTGAGAAGAAAGAAGAATCCCAAGAGGCATCTCATCTTGTGAATATGTCTGGTGAAAGTTCTGAGAAGAAAGAAGAATCCCAAGAGGCATCTCATCTTGTGAATATTTCTGGTGAAAGTTCTGAGAAGAAAAAAGAATCCCAAGAGGCATCTCATCTTGTGAATATTTCTGGTAAAAGTTCTGAGAAGAAAGAAGAATCCCAAGAGGCATCTCATCTTGTGAATATTTCTGGTAAAAGTTCTGAGAAGAAAGAAGAATCCCAAGAGGCATCTCATCTTGTGAATATGTCTGGTGAAAGTTCTGAGAAGAAAGAAGAATCCCAAGAGGCATCTCATCTTGTGAATATTTCTGGTGAAAGTTCTGAGAAGAAAGAAGAATCCCAAGAGTCTTCTCATCTTGTGAATATTTCTGGTGAAAGTTCTGAGAAGAAAGAAGAATCCCAAAAGGCATCTCATCTTGTGAATATTTCTGGTGAAAGTTTTCAGAAGAAAAAAGAATCCCAAAAGGCATCTCATCTTGTAAATATGTCTGGTAAAAGTTCTCAGAAGAAAGGGAAGAAAAAACTAACCCAAGAGGATCATGAAGATTCTCATGAAGCTGAAGGTGTGTATCTTTCAAAAGACGGCAAAATGCCCGATGAAGATGATGACCCGGATAATGCCCTAAATGATATGGATTATGATGATTATCCCGACAAATTCCCCCCAGATCTTTTCAGCCCTTGATAAATGGGTCACATATGTTAAGCAAAAAGGAGTGTTTTTCTCAATATATACTTTTATATTCTTGTTTAAGTAAATATTTTTCAATGTTGCAATGAGTGCTGAACGTGCACTGTGCACCCCTGATGTCTGTGGCCACAAAGAACAGAGAAAAAGTGTGACATTAGAAACAAAATTAGAAATCTTGTTTATATCAGTTAACCTATGGTAAAATTGGTTCATTATACTTCATTTCACTCAAAGTTGCAGTTTCTGAAACTATCAATGATGTTAAGTGACAACTTACTGTGCAGTAATATACTGCTTTGAGAATGTTTAATATTACCATTTATTTTTCTTAGTTTCATGATAATTATCAAAATAACTTTTTTGTTTATTATAGAAGTAAAGGAGGTAAAGGAGGTTTTGTGGGCAAGGGGTTTGGACTTCCAGCAAGCGTGCGTGAGCGTGTTAGATAGGAGTGAATGGAGATGAATGGTATTTGGGACCTGACGATCTGTTGGAGTGTGAGCAGGGTAATATTTAGTGAAGGGATTCAGGGAAACCGGTTATTTTTATATAGCTGGACTTGAGTCCTGGAAATGGGAATTACAATGCCTGCACTCTGAAGGAGGGGTTCGGGATATCAGCGGTTTGGAGGGATATGTTGTGCATCTTTATAGGTATATGCTTCTAAACTGTTGTGTTCTGAGCACCTCTGCAAATACAGTGCTTATGTGTGAGTGAGGTGAAAGTGTTGAATGATGATGAAAGTATTTTCTTTTTGGGGATTTTCTTTCTTTTTGGGGTCACCCTGCCTCGGTGGGAGACGGCTGACTTGTTAAAAAAAAAAAAAAAAAGTTTATGTTTCAGTACATTTATATATTATATTAGAAAATATATAAGGTTAAATTATTATTATAATACAGGGGGAAGCACTAAACCCGGTGGATTATACAGTGCCTGGGGGGGGATGTGGAAGGCATTCAGGCTTAATTTGGGGAACTGGAGCACAGATCCAATTCCCTAAATCGAGATCACCTCACCAACATCAAGGAACCTTCTTTGAGGGGATATAAGTTTAAAACAAGTTATCATTATCCTGCTTACCTGTTAATGGGTTAATAAACCTTAAATTGTTATATATGCCTTTTATTATCATTTATTAGTTTTTATGGTACATTTAGACATTATTGTCAGGCATGGCATCAGATCTGATGCCTGAAGTATCACTTAGAGTTTTACCATATATGGGTGAGGTATCATATTTGATTCCCTCAAAAGTGTATTTTATGGCCAAAATATTAAAAATATCGATAAATTCAGATAAATAATGTCTTAAAATTGCCTATATTAACATTATAGGTTTCAAATTTAATTATGTTTCAAATATGATGCCTTGCCTGTTAAAGAGTAAGAGCATACATTAGTTTGTTCAAAGGCAAAGGGGACAAAAGAGTGTAAAAAATTATAGGGGAATGAAGTGGAGAAGCACTTTGCAAGTGCAGGATTCTACTAGAAACAGACACCTTGCCCTGGTGGGCGTGGAGTTACCTGAGCCTTCAGGATCACATGCTCAGTAAACATGTCAGTCAAGATTGTTGAATCAGCCCAAATTGTTTTGCATATGAGAAAACGTGACAAGTTACAGTGACCAATAAGATATAGTGTATGGTGAAAGGGGACAGGAACAAGATGTTGCCTTGGATACTTGTTGCCTCACCCAGCCACTCCAAACCCACACTGAAGCCTCGTGAATTGTCACATTCATTAAACAGATTATTATTATTATTATTATTATTATTATTATTATTATAATCAAAAAGAAGCGCTAAGCCACAAGGACTATAAACAGAGCATTCTTGAGTCAAAAATTTCCTGATCTCTGTTTGGTGACTATAAAGACAATCATTTGATTATGAGGCAACTAAGTAGATAGTAGTAGTGGTGGTAGAAGTAGATTATTATTATTATAATAAAAAAGAAGCACTAAACCTACTAGTGTCATACAGCACTACAGGGCAGGAATTGATGCAGGATAAAAGGATAAGTAAGGGTGGAGATGGCAATACAAGTAAAGTTAAGAGGGGTTGTGAGGAGTACTAAAAGAAGGAGTATCAAAGTCTGTGTATTAAATCAGTTGCTGTAAAAAGAGTCGAAGAGGGAGTCTGTGTCCAAGGTGGGGCCATCAACAAGGAGGGATGATAAAGTAAGGGTGTTAGAATGGTGACAACATCGGAGTACAATTCTAAGTAATCATTGACAGACAGGACAGGAGATTAAAATGACTTTAATCCATGCTTGAGGCTCAATGATGTGCCCAGGCTGGGAAAGAAACATTGCTTGTGAAACAGGCTGCCCAGCTTATGTGGCATTTGTGATGGCCGAGTGGTTAAAAGGGATGGAATGCAATTTTTTTTGTTTTTTTTTGTTCCAATTTCAAATGTAACTTTATCCTGTGATTTAAAAAGCAGTTTGCATCATAGACACTTGTTTGTTTGGACTTCTTGTTGCAAAGTTGCAAGATAATGCAAAATTGTATTTATCATAAAACCCTCCCTGGCCTACAAAATTGGTAAGTTGTACAATGTTCTAGTCAACATCAGATGAAAGATAGTTAGATTATCTAAATTTCAAAGTTGTTTGCGAGAAAGGTCAATAGATTGCATTATAAAGAATTTTGAAATTTGTGTTTTTTTTTTTTTAGAAGTTTTTTGGGAGAATAAGAGTCAAATGGCAAAACATATTGCAAAACACCTCTGAATATTAATAGAACCATCATTCAGCAATATTGTGTGAAAAAATAATGACACTCCTATTATTACTCTTTGAAAAAAATAAAACAAATGTCAATAACTTTTACATTTGTTAAAATAATTCAGGTGCTATTTTATAGCTTTAGAATATTTACTTTGTCTTATACTTAATTCTAACTATAGATTCACTATAAATCTTATGATAACAAGCATTGATCCTGATACCAACCTCTTATTTAATGACTTTAATGAATCAAACAGTAATTGTAATTACTACACAGCAGAACAATCAAAGGCACTTCTCAGAGCCAACAACAACATAACTGTCTTTAACTACAATATCAGATCTTTAAGCAAACATTACGATGACCTCATAGCATTACTAAATTCCCTGCATGCCAGTATGTCCATCATTACTCTCACCAAAACCTGGCTAAAGCCTGATACTACAGATGTCTATGCCATTCCTGGTTACACAGCTATACACAACTGTAGGCCAGACCAACAAGGGGGTGGCACAGCTATATACTACTCAGACCAACTAGAATGTATCACTAATACCTGCACAAGGGATGAACATGGGGAATATATAATAGCTAAATTCAAAATACCTACAAAAACCTCTCACAGTGATAAACATCTACAGAGTACCACAGTCAAACATTAGCCATTTTAGTGAAAACCTAGGAAGTATGATAACTGATGCACGCATGAACAAAGATCACTTACTACTCTCAGGTGACTTCAATATAAATCTCCTACAAGACCAGGACCCACACGTTACTGAATTCACAAACACTATGAGTAACTGCATGTTGCTACCAACAGTTACAAAAGCTACAAGAGTTACAGAGACTAGTGTTTCCCTACTAGACCACATCTGGACCAACACCATATCCCCCTTAAGATCAGGCATAATCACAGATAATACCACAGACCATTACCCTACCTTCCTCATAACAAACCTTGGCAAATTACCCCTAGACACCACTAAAGTCACTTCCCGACTTCACAGCAAGGTAGCTATTAATAACTTCACAGCAGCAGTGACAAACATTGACTGGCACACTGAGCTAGAAATCTATACAGATATTGACGAATGTATTAATAATTTTCTAAAAAAGACCCAATACCTCTATAACAAGCACTGCTCTAAAAAAACTAAACAGATGACTGCAAAGAGACTGAGCAGTCCCTGGCTAACACCCAGCATCCTCAAATCCATAAATACAAAGCACCTATACGAATAACAGTACAAAATGGGCCACATAACCAGAGACCAAACAAAACATTACTCATCAATCCTAACCAGCCTAATAAGAAGGGCTAAAAAACTGTATTATGAGAACAGATTATCCAACTTACGAGGTGATATAAAAAAGACCTGGAAAACCCTATCAGAAATTCTAGGAACAAAAAAGATAACACGAAATGGTGAAATTGAATTAACAAAACCAGATGAACCCCAACTCCCACCTACTGAAACAGCAAACAGACTCAATGATTTCTTCTCCACTATAGGAAAAAACCTTGCCAATAAAATCCCAAGCTCAGATACCCCACCCAATGACTACCTCACTGGCAATTACCCGAACACACTGTTCCTAGCTCCGACTAACCCAACTGAAGTCTTCCTTATTATCAACACACTAAAAAACAAGACAGGAGATTTAAATACCTTACCACCCTTTATATACAAAAAAGTGTCACAGGTGCTATCACCAATCATTCAACACTCTTGAACAAATCCATTGAATCCTCTACCTTTCCTACAGTTCTCAAAATAGCAAGGGTCACCCCGATCCATAAAGGAGGAGACCACACAGACTTGACTAACTATAGGCCAATATCCAACTTATACCCTCTCTCTAAAATCTTTGAAAAATTAATTCATAAGTGTATCTATTCCTACCTCATCTCCCACAACATACTCATCCCCTGTCAATTTTGGTTCAGGCCTAATAAAAATACTAATGATGCTATTATACACATGCTAGAACATGTGTATAATAGCATCATTAGATATATCAGATCACTTTTTAGTTGTAGCTACACTGAGAGTAAAAGGTAGATGGGATACAAGGAGAATAGAAGCATCAGGGAAGAGAGAGGTGAAGGTTTATAAACTAAAAGAGGAGGCAGTTAGGGTAAGATATAAACAGCTATTGGAGGATAGATGGGCTAATGAGAGCATAGGCAATGGGGTTGAAGAGGTATGGGGTAGGTTTAAAAATGTAGTGTTAGAGTGTTCAGCAGAAGTTTGTGGTTACAGGAAAGTGGGTGTGGGAGGGAAGAGGAGCGATTGGTGGAATGATGTAAAGAGAGTAGTAAGGGAGAAAAAGTTAGCATATGAGAAGTTTTTACAAAGTAGAAGTGATGCAAGGAGGGAAGAGTATATGGAGAAAAAGAGAGAGGTTAAGAGAGTGGTGAAGCAATGTAAAAGGAGAGCAAATGAGAGAGTGGGTGAGATGTTATCAACAAATTTTGTTGAAAATAAGAAAAAGTTTTGGAGTGAGATTAACAAGTTAAGGAAGCCTAGAGAACAAATGGATTTGTCAGTTAAAAATAGGAGAGGAGAGTTATTAAATGGAGAGTTAGAGGTATTGGGAAGATGGAGGGAATATTTTGAGGAATTGTTAAATGTTGAAGATAGGGAAGCTGTGATTTCATGTATAGGGCAAAGAGTAATAACATCTTGTAGGAGTGAGGAAGAGCCAGTTGTGAGTGTGGGGGAAGTTCATGAGGCAGTAGGTAAAATGAAAGGGGGTAAGGCAGCTGGGATTGATGGGACAAAGATAGAAATGTTAAAAGCAGGTGGGGATATAGTTTTGGAGTGGTTGGTGCAATTACTTAATAAATGTATGGAAGAGGGTAAGGTTCCTAGGGATTGGCAGAGAGCATGCATAGTTCCTTTGTATAAAGGCAAAGGGGACAAAAGAGAGTGCAAAAATTATAGGGGGATAAGTCTATTGAGTATACCTGGTAAAGTGTATGGTAGAGTTATTATTGAAAGAATTGAGAGTAAGACGGAGAAAAGGATAGCAGATGAACAAGGAGGCTTTAGGAAAGGTAGGGGGTGTGTGGACCAGGTGTTTACAGCGAAACATATAAGTGAATATTATTTAGATAAGGCTAAAGAGGTTTTTGTGGCATTTATGGATTTGGAAAAGGCGTATGACAGGGTGGATAGGGGGGCAATGTGGCAGATGTTGCAGTTGTATGGTGTAGGAGGAAGGTTACTGAAAGCAGTGAAGAGTTTTTACGAGGATAGTGAGGCTCAAGTTAGAGTATGTAGGAAAGAGGGAGATTATTTCCCAGTAAAAGTAGGCCTTAGACAAGGATGTGTGATGTTTATCTGGAGAGTTTACCTGGAGAGAGTTTCGGGG